CATGTTAGAATAAAGTAGACGGTAGGGCCAATTGGATCAGTTATGGGCAGCTTACAAGGGCCAGGGAGGGCTTCTTAGGAGAGGGAAACTTATACTGAATTCTGGAAGATGGGAGAGTTGACCTAATAAGAAGGGCATTCTGGGTAAGGGTGATCACCAGGAGCTGTTGTGGTTCTGGGAACCAGCTGGATTTAGTTTCTAAATCTGATCTCATCATTTACTGAGAACAAAGGAAAGTTATTTACTTCTTAACAGCTCTGTTTTTTCACCTGTAAAATGAAGAAAATTCAGGAGAAAAAGCATTCTAGATGGAAGTAGAGTGTTGAGCAGGTGCTCAATCACAACAGAATACCTGTGTAAACCAAGGAGTGTAACTATGTCTAGCAAGTGACAAGTGATAAACTATTGGCTCTTTCAAGAGGATTCCTTAACATTGTGTTTAAGTACTTTCTTAAATATAGATTTTTCAATATTTCAGAAAAACAGCATTTATAATATCTGTTGTTTAATTCTAAAAATAATGATGCTGGCCAGGCATAGTGGCTTATGCCTTCCTGTAATCCCAGTACTTTGGGAAGCTGTGTGGGTGGCTCAGCTGAGGTCAGGAGTTTGAGACCAGCCTGACAAAGATGGTGAAGCCTCTCTCTATTAAAAATCTAAAAATATTAGCCAGGTATGGAACCACAAGCCTTTAATCCCAGCTACTTGAGAGGCTAAGGCAGGAGAATCACTTGAACCCGGGAGACGGAGGTTGCAGTGAGTTAGGATTATGCCACTGCACTCCAGCCAGGGTGACAGAGTGAGACTCCATCTCAAAAATAAATACACAAATAAATAAGTATAAAAATAATGATGCTGATTTTGCCCGAAAATGAGGAATAAGAAGAGCAAGGAGGAGGAGGAGGAAGAGGAGGAGGAGGAGAAGAAGAAGGAGAAGGAGAAAGAGGAGAAGAAGCAGCAGCAGCAGCTAGATATAACTTGAGTTCTTCCACATTGACAAGACCCTTTAAAAGTTGTATAGGGTAGTTGCTGTTGACAAAAGTTTATTCCCTTATACATAGGCTTACTACAGAAGGAACTAAGGCTCAAATTATTTTTATTTTTTATTTTGTTTTTATTACTTTTTGAGACAGAGGCTCACTCTATCACCCAAGCTGGAGTGCAATGGTGCACTCTACACTCATTGCAACCTCTGCCTCCCAGGCTCAAGGGATTCTCCTGCCTCAGTCTCCCTAGTAGCTAGAATTATAGGCATGCACCACCATGCTGGCTATTTTTTTATTTTTTGTAGAGACAAGATTTCACCATGTTGGCAAAGCTGGCCTTGAACTTAAGGTGATCCACTGTCTCAGGCTCCATAAGTGCTGGGATTACAAGTGTGAGCCACTGTGCCCAGCTCAGTTTTATTTTTAAACTAAGTCTTATTTTAAACTAAGGCTCAAATCTGTTTTATTTTTAAATTCCACATTGTGAACATCTATTTCTGTTTACACACACACAAAAATGACATGTGTCCTTTTCAGTATAGCACCAATTAATATATAAACAGAAAAAAAAATGATACCAAATAGAAAGTAAATGTATTACAGTATGTCAGAGAAATTGCATCACACTCCTGACCTGAAGACTGAGTTCAGTCTTTGCTTTATTAGACTTAGGGATAGAACTTTACCTCTATCTAAGCACTGTCTGTGGAATTATAAATTGGCCATGTTTATCATTGCTGTCAACCTAATGAAAGGGAATTTGGACAGAAAACTCCATGGAGGAAATGGAAACTCATGGATTAATCAAGCAGAGGGGATAGAGGAAGGCCTGAGGACAGTGGGAATAACCCTGGACCCAGGTATCTGCAGAGACAAATAGACTTGGCAATGCCAGGCAAGCAGCTGATGGTGATCTGAACCACTGGAGTGCACAGCTGGAGGGGTGGAAATGCCTCTTAGTTCCCTAACCAAACTACTGAAGAAGACACTAGGGGAGGTGATCACTGAGCCCCCAGCTCTGACACCCAGCTTTTCTGGAAGTCAGCCTTTCACGGTGTTAAACTTACTTTGAAAAATCATGGGGTGAGTTTGCTTCCCCAAGAGTCACGTGAAAATGACTCAGTGAGAGGTTCCCACACATCACATTAGCAGGTGAATGGATACTTTAAGAGGCATTGATTGCATCAGAACTCCTAAGAAGGTGAGAAAAATTTTGGTAAAACGACTCTAGGTGATTTTTTAAAATCACAAACGGATATTGGGGGAAGCTTCAGAATACTTTAGCAGATAGGATCTCTGCTGAGATTACTAGTTCCGGAGAGGAGCGGATGCAAGGGGGATGTCAGTAAACATGTAGAAAATGAGAGTGTTATCAAGAATGGAGAAATATGTAAAGAATACATGTGCGAGTATGAATTACCAGAACAGTGAGATCTTAAGAGAATTCAACAGCCTTAAGGAAAGTGGGTTTGATCACTATGCCTGACACATAATTACCACACACTTGCTGACTCTATGAGGTTGAATTAAATGTTAAGACACACAGATTATTAGAATCAGAAGGGTGTGAAAGAGCACGCTGCCCTGCAGCCCACCAGTGCATGAGATGGGCCTTTCCCTGCCATGGGCAGAAGGGGCACCTTGCCCATGATCTGCACAGTGACCCACCCGGACCAGCTCCTTTCTGCACAAAATATGCTGCTGTTGGGAGCTGCCATTACTTTTCAAGTAGTAAAATAACAAAAGTATTAATATCTGAAAATCTGCAATGGTCAGAACCAGAAAGAGAGAATGAACCAGGAAAACCAGGATCAGATATAGAGAGGTTCTCCTTCTGGCTGACCGTGTTAGGCAGTGGCCTCATAGCCCCAAAATATATTTTTCTATTCTTCCTTACATTATTTCACAATCTTATTCCACATGCATGTATTCTGAAATTCTATGAGTAGAAACTTATATTTGAAACAGCCCTCCCCCCAAAAAAGTATTTAAATACTTGGATGAGGACAGGGCATCAGTCAGGGACATGGTGGTTACTCACAAGCCTCTTGTATTACTGGGATTGGCAGCTTGAGAAACATGGGAGGGCTGAGAAAGTTTAGGGAGGTTTTTTTGGTGGGGGGAAATATAAGAAACTTTGAGGGGATGAGAAAGAGTTACTTTAGTTGTTCTCAGCTCAAATTTGAGCAGATATTTCTTTCTCCCCAGTTGTCGTCAGCTTATGACATCACTCCTCAATTGCACTTATTTTCTGATCCCACATATGTCCAAGGGAAGAGCCTCTGCCATTTTGAGTGCTGGACTCCAATGACTCCAGACCAGATGACCTCTACTGACAGAAAAGGATGGCAAGCAGAGTGCCCTGGGCTACTTGGCTCAACTCTCGCAGCCAGTGACACTGGGGAGAGAATCAGATGAGGAAAAGTGCCCGTCACAGTGTTTGAGATAAAGTAGCCGCTTAACCACTTACTTCTTCTATGGCAATTTTTAAATATAGAGTGTCTTCCAAACATTTTTTAAATTTTATTTTTAATTGACATAATAGCCATATATATTTATAAGACATATAGTGATATTTCAATACATACACGTATAGTGATCAGATGAGGATAATTAGCACATCCATCATCTCATATTTATCATTTCTTTGGGGAACATTCAGTATTCTCCTTCTAGCTATTTGAATCAAAATATAATATACTTTTGTTAAGTCTAGTCATTCTACAGTGCTATCGAACACTAGAACTTATTCTTCCCATCTAGCTGTAATTTTGTTTTCTTTAACAAATCTCTCCCAAGTGGCCATTTTGCATTGTGAATTAATATTCTCTCTCTTTGTCTGTCTCTCTCTCGCTCACACACACACA